CATGCAGTTGATATAAATAGATATTGATCGACCGTATTTGTTTATAAACCGTAACGACAATAGTATGTTTATTACATCATTGTAAGATAATCAATTACGAGTTATGTACAAAAAACCTTAAGTTTGGACGTTCTTCACTTTGAATTGACGCGTAGGACCTATTATTTACCAGAATCTGTGAAAATACGGTTGACAAGATCAGTGTATTTCCGTGGGACTTACAGCTCTAAAATGAACAAGAGACAATTTCAATATGACGTATGCGATAAAAAGTTTAAAAATATCACACAATTAACTGAACACCGGAGGACCCACACAGGTGAGAGACCGTACCCGTGCGATGTTTGCGATAAGTCATTCGCTGATTCTAGCGCTTTGACTGTATACCGGAGGACCCACACAGGCGAGAAACCGTACCCGTGCGATGTGTGTGACAGGTCATTCGCTAATTCTAGCTCTTTTACTGTACACCGGAGGACCCACACAGGCGAGAAACCATACATGTGCGATGTGTGTGACAGGTCATTCGCTGATTCTAGCGCTTTGACTGTACACCGGAGGACCCACACAGGCGAGAAACCGTACCCGTGCGATGTGTGTGACAAGTCATTCGCTAATTCTAGCTCTTTTACTGTACACCGGAGGACCCACACAGGCGAGAAACCGTACCCGTGCGATGTGTGTGACAAGTCATTCGCTAATTCTAGCTCTTTTACTGTACACCGGAGGACCCACACAGGCGAGAAACCATACATGTGCGATGTGTGTGACAGGTCATTCGCTGATTCTAGCGCTTTGACTGTACACCAGAGGACCCACACAGGGGAGAAACCGTACCCGTGCGATGTGTGTGACAAGTCATTCGCTAATTCTAGCTCTTTTACTGTACACCGGAGGACCCACACAGGCGAGAAACCGTACCCGTGCGATGTGTGTGACAAGTCATTCGCTAATTCTAGCTCTTTTACTGTACACCGGAGGACCCACACAGGCGAGAAACCATACATGTGCGATGTGTGTGACAGGTCATTCGCTGATTCTAGCGCTTTGACTGTTCACCAGAGGACCCACACAGGGGAGAAACCATACTTATGTGATGTGTGTGACAAGTCATTCTCTAATTCTAGCACTTTGACTGTACACCGGAGGACCCACACAGGCGAGAAACCGTACCCGTGCGATGTGTGTGACAAGTCATTCGCTAAGAGTTGTACTTTGATCTTACACAACAGGACTCACACTGGTGAAAAACCATACCTATGCGATGTATGCGACAAGTCATTTGCTAAATCTAGCAATTTGACTGAACACCAGAGGACCCACACAGGCGAGAAACCGTACCCATGCGATGTGTGTGACAAGTCATTCGTTAATTCTAGCACTTTGACTGTACACCAGAGGACCCACACAGGCGAGAAACCATACATATGTGATGTGTGTGACAAGTCATTCGCTAATTCTAACACATTGACTATACACCAGAGGACCCACACAGGCAAGAAACCGTACACGTGCGATGTGTGTGACAGGTCATTCGCTTATTCTAGCTCTTTTACGGTACACCGGAGGACCCACACAGGCGAGAGACCGTACCCGTGCGATGTGTGTGACAAGTCATTCGCTAATTCTAGCTCATTGACTGTACACCGGAGGACCCACACAGGCGAGAAACCGTACACGTGCGATGTGTGTGACAAGTCATTCGCTAAGAGTTGGACTTTGACCTTACACCAGAGGACTCACACAGGTGAAAAACCATACATATGTGATGTGTGTGACAAGTCATTTGCTAATTCTAACACTTTGACTAAACACCGGAGGACCCATACAGGCGAGAAGCCGTACACGTGCGATGTGTGTGACCAGTCGTTTACCCAAAAAATCCATCTAACTGTACACCGGAGGAAGCACATGGGCGAGGATCTTTAACCATGCGGTGATTGTGAAGAGTCATTCGCTGATTCTAGCACATTAACTGTACACCGGAGGACGCACACGGGCAGATTTAAGATATTATACCTTTTTTTTTACGTGCTGAATAAAATATATTAAGAACGAGAACGATTAAAATTATTATGGTTATAAGAAGAAAAAGCTGGTAACAACAATATCCTTTAATATTATTGTTCAGTAATTTATGATTTTTAACATATTAAGATGCGTTGACTTCCATACATTTCCTTTTTTGCAACTTCGCTTCAATATAAGTAAAATATGTTTTCGGTTGTTTTGGGATTTCCACAAAGTCCGAAAATGTCCAAAACTATTCTTTCGAATTTCGATCTTGATGCGTAAAGTATTGATGAATGATAAGTAATAAAGAGCTGAATCGTTTGAAATATAGAAGTCTGTATCGTCACAGAATACCTCTATGATTATAAACGGAACGAAAAATCTCAAGTATTTGAAAATATAACGGTCTTAATTAAATTGAAAAATTCCAAATATAAGATTTTCCATAAATGAGTTATATCAAAGGAAAATTGTGGGTTAGCGTTCTTGGTGAATCAGCCTATATAATACATGCGGGGAGATTCACTAGGCATGGTCGCCCCCATATTTTAGTCCAATAATTTACATTTATTCAAACTCTGATATTTAGAATTTTTAAATATTATGCGTATCGACCATATTTTCAAATTCTGGAGATTATTAATTGATTTACTATTAAGGTGTGCCTTTAACCTGTGCTTCAAATGACAACCCTCCCTTTTTACTGTTAATATTATGTAGTGGATACATTTTTCTTTAAAACCTATTTTAACGTGAACACAATCATTTTATTATGATTGTCGAAGTAAGAATTAAAAAAATTCATCAAAATCACAACTCATTCGTTTAATAATAGATTTTGTAAGACACGGGAGGAATAATATTTATATACCTACGTGTGTAGGTATAATTTTATACATACTATAAAGAGTGGTGTAACAGACTTGATGGATGAAAAATTAAAATGAACACTTTAGGTATAGAAAGCTTGAAAAATATTTGGATAAATCATAAAAATTTTACTAATGTCTAAATATTTCCAGAAAGAGTATTTTGAAAAAATTTGATAAATGTTGTTAAAAATCGAACTTTAAATTCTTGTAAAAAAAAATTGAGCCTTTGTGCATTTAATATATTTCAACTGCTATCGAAGCAATAATACAAGGACCCTTCAATTAAATGTTGACTCTTGTTGGTCTTTATTGATATTTATAGAAAAAAAAAACTGAAAAAATTGAAATTTGAAATTGATTTTATTACTAATTAATAAAATAAACATATGATATATGACATATGACATCACTACGTGGGAAATCAAGTGAATATCCAATGTTTTAAAAATTTGAACTTGGTTTACCAAATTCGACCGTTAAATGCTTATAAAAAAAATTGTGATGATGGATTTTTAATATTTTCAAATGTCATTGTAACAATATATTAAGAGCCTTGTATTAAATATTCAAGCTATTTTACACTACAAATAATATTGTATTGACATTCCTAGAAAAAAAAAATTAAAAAATTAAAAATTGGTAGTCGTCGTAAACAACTTAAAACCAGTCAAAATGTTTTGAATATTTTATGGTGTATAGCAAATGCTAATATAAGTGTTCAGTGAACATTTCATGTATCTACGGCCATTTGTTTTAGAGTTACACCAAAAACCAAAATCGATTTTGTTGTAAACGGAATTTGCTTAAAAATTCCCGTTTTTCCTTAATTTGTATTGATGTTGTTCTTGCACATAGGTGGACATCGGGGGGCTTAGCCCCCCTAAATATTTTAATAGCCCCCAAAAATCGAAACTTAATTTGAAATGTCATTCGTTGTTTTCATAATTAAGTTATAGTTTTGTTATGCATTATTATTAGTTTATCACATCTATCACATAAAACTAGTTTTGAATATGTGTGGAGAAATAGCCCTTTCGAAATGACCGATTCAATTTACCAATTCAATTTGCGAGTGTTAAAAAATTATAAAACCGTGTGTGTTTAGTTAAGACACTTACCTACTTAAAGATATGATAAATAACAATTAATACATTTCTATCCATTTATAGATGTATTATTAGAAAGAATCACATGTGCAAATAGGTGTTTTTTCTTTCCCATCATTTAGTACTCGAGACTTACAAATTTGTATGACCATTTCTGAAATTCGTATGACCTCCCTTACAAATAGTGTCCTAACATTTGGGCATTTCTCCAGCACCCCCCAAATAGAACCGATGGCAATAATGTATGTGTTTTTTTTGTCCCATCATTTAGTACGTGAGACGTACGAATTTGTATGCTTAGAAAGCATAGCTATAGCTATAGAAAGCTTGAAAAATATTTGGATAAATCATTAAAATTTTACTAATGTCTAAATATTTCCAGAAAGAGTATTTTGAAAAAATTTGATAAATGTTGTTAAAAATCGAACTTTAAATTCTCGTAAAAAAAAATTGAGCCTTTGTGCATTTAATATATTTCAACTGCTATCGAAGCAATAATACAAGGACCCTTCAATTAAATGTTGACTCTTGTTGGTCTTTATTGATATTTATAGAAAAAAAAACTGAAAAAATTGAAATTTGAAATTTACTGTTAAACTAGTCAAAATATTTTTTAAATTTTATCAAGTATAGTAATTAATAAAATAAACATATGATATATGACATATGATATCACTACATGGGAAATCAAGTGAATATCCAATGTTTTAAAATTTTGAACTTGGTTTACCAAATTCGACAGTTAAATGCTTATAAAAAAAATTGTGATGATGGATTTTTAATATTTTCAAATGTCATTGTAACAATATATTAAGAGCCTTGTATTAAATATTCAAGCTTTTTTACACTACAAATAAAATTGTATTGACATTCCTAGAAAAAAATTAACTTCTGCTAAAGAATGATTTGTTTTTTTAAATAATTGTTTTACCGAAATAAATTCGATTTATAACTGTTTAAAATCCAGAGTTTTTTTTGAGACGCCCTGTAAAAATTTATAAAATTTTTTCTATAAGTAATGCACTGACGGAAAATGTTCTCTTTCCTCAGGACTCATGGTGTTGTGGCCGGTGGACGAGGTGTTTACAGCCGACACCACTGCCCCGCCGCCGACAGCAGACACCGTCTCCTCGGCCGTGGCCAGCGCCTCCTCCGCTATCGCCACCGCCTCTTCTGCGATAGCCACTGCTTCGACAGCCATCGCCACCGCGTCTTCGGCCATCGCCACCGCCTCGTCGGCCATCGCCACTGACCAGTCGGCCGCCTCAGTGGATGCGATCGATTGCGACGACGACACCACCGATCTGTGCGACACCGCCACCTCCACCACTTCTGCAGAGACTTCCGCCGCCACTTCCACCATCGCAGGTGACGATTGTAGCACGGTCACGTCTTCTATGAGACTCGGACACATTGACACGACGGTGCAACAGGTCGACGACGACGACCGCGGCGGCACTGGTCGAGGTCTAGACATCGTGGGTCCTAGCCGTCTGGCCGACAGATTCAACCGAGTCGACGTCCGACCGAGGACCGTGGGTTTTAAGATGACGGAGAAACTCATTTTGACAGCCTTGACCATGTTTTTCGAAAAACTCGAATTGGCCATGTACATGTCGCTGTACAAACTGAAACTCATCTACACCATGATCCGGTGTTGGGTTTATAGTTTTTAGTCGGTGGTGTTTTTTTTCTTACTCCATCTCGGATCATCAACGATAATAATAATAATAATATAACACGACAATAATACGGGATCGTATATTAATTATTACGATTAGGGCCCAGATTTGAGTGCCCTAAGAATGCTCTAAGAAACTGCCTTTTCAAAGCAATAATGTCCTTGAAAAATGGTCAAAAATGTTTTTTCAAACCCAACTATATAGGTACTCGAGTGATAGAAAAACGACGGATTGACTTTTGGCATTTTTAACTCAACTTTTTCGTATTAACTAGATACTAACAGTGAAATACAAGACTTTCGCGCAATAGACAAAAGGCCGTAAACGGAAAATGAATAGCGATCGCGGACAACTATCCAATATTATTAGTTGTTATCTATAATACTATCTGATATTCTCTAGGTACATATCGCTTTCATATTTCGTATGTAGTTAGCGATTGACATTTTGGTTAAAATATACCTAAAAACCTATTAGAGCGAATAATTATGCGAAACCACTATTTCTTGATTTTGTTTTTCTTGATTTATTCAAAAATGTAGTGTGAACTAAACATTAATTAAATCACACTAAAATGCTAAATCATGCAAAATAAATGTTTCCACTTTGAAGTGGATACCTACTATACCTGTTACATGAAAATAATTGTATTATGTACTTGCGTAATGTTTTGTTCTAAAGGAGTGCAAAACGATTACACCAGTCTTACCTTTTTACATGCAAAAAAACCCAAAACTCTCTCCATGAAATGTTGTTATACGTGTTGTCCTGTTAACAGTTTTCCAATAAGCTATTTAAAAATACTGTTGGCCTTGGTTAACTCGAAGTTCAAGTTAAAAGTTCGGGTCCAACAAGTTCGACTGTATTAATACATTTATATAAACATTTGTCATGTTTGAACGAATAAAATGATTTGAATTGATTATTAAAATAATTTTCAACCATCCAAATATTTTGTTGTCAGTAAAATTGGGAAGGAGGACTGTTAAAAGGACCACAAATATATTACATATTTGATGGTTTTTGCATGTAAAAATGTAAGACGTCAATCGTGTTGCACACGCCCTGGATCATCCCGAAAAAAGATGCTCTTTGCGTATTGAAACCAGTGCCCTATAGTCGTATAATAATCGTTTATTTTCGTCGCCACTGAAATCACTGGTAAAAATCGTGTGCATAATTATTGTCGAAAATTGTATGAAAATCGTTCCGTGTGACCTATCGGTCGCACGCGAAAACTACAGAAATATATAGTACATTATTATTTATTATTTTATTATTTTATTATTATTGTTGTTATAATATTATATGGTTCGGAACAAACGCGTGTCCCTGACCCATCATCATCATCAACAAGTGTCAACGTAGTCGAACGACTAGAAAAAAAAAACAGTTACGCCTATTTAGTATTATTATATTATTATATATTATATAACTACACGTGTAATAACAAAAACCACCTGCTGAATGTTAGATTATTATGTACGTGCGCGACTATTATTTATTAAGTATTAAATTACTATTATCGAACGTTCAATTTGTACACATCAAAATAATTACATATTATACATAGTTCGTGTCAACCTGTTTTCGATTTTGTTTTTATACCACCTACACCTATACAGTGCCTGCATGTATATGACGTGTATTATCATCTATTGTAGATGATAACGGCGTGCGCACTCGAGGAAAACAATTATTATTCCGTTTGATGTACACCAGGCAGTAGAAGACATGACGTCAATAAAATGTAGTAAAGTATCTGTGACTTGCCAGAAAATATTGAATAGATCGAATGTTATATTGTACTACTATGAGGGCCTAGGGAAAAAAATTAGCAAAAAAAATTGTTTTCACACTATAAATGTTTTTTACAAATAGGTACCCAGCCATGTATGATGTGTGTGCACGCCAACCTATAAAATATCTCTCTCTACGTCGTATACCTATATATTGGCGAAACTGAACTCAATTTTTTCCCACAGTTTGTCCAATGAACAGCGAGACACGCAAAAAATATATTTGATAAAAAAATATTTCATACTTACAAATGTTGTTGAGAAAATATGTACACATACTATGTACCTACATATGTATGTATGTAATAATAATAATAATAATAATAATAATAATTTATTGATTTCCAACAACATTATACTGTATTAATAATTCTTTACAAAGGTAAGTTAGTTGGCATAAAGTGATAAGTTAATTATGAATAGTATCGTTTACGATTCATTATATACAATTACAGTAATACATATTTTCTAAAAAAGTTTATAATATTCAACATTCTTAGGACAGATCTGAAAGGATACTGTTGAAGAAAATCGAAGCATTTTTACCGTCCTTTAAAAAAAAACACATATCGTTGTATAATGGGATTTTATCGATTCCTCCGTTTTAATATCAATTTCACCGGCTATCGATTCAGCTAGATATTTATTTATGCCGATTCCGCCGACTGTTTATTAAACAATAACCTATGCATAGTATAATATAGTACTGTATAGTATTATACAGAATTTATTATTTATATACTATAACAGTAAATTCACTAGCAAAACATTTCAAAAAACAATTCAAGCATTGTCGTCTACAACGGACAATATAACTAAGTCATACATTTGTTACGGCGGGAAAAAAACAATAAAATACGATGTAAAATTTGTTAAAATTCAAAATAATATGACTAAAAAAAAAAATTTTAGACAAATCGCCAAATGGAGATTTCTGACAACTTTGGGAAATCATGAACGAAGGTTCATTCATGCCCTACCCATTTCATCCCTCAAATAAAATTATCTTAGGTATTCAATACAAATGAAAACCTTACTCATTTATGATTTTTGGAGTTATGGACATAATATAATGTGTGATTTCTATATTGTAATAAAATAAACCTTACAGTTAGATAATAATATCGAAACCAAAATATATATTTCAAAACATTGGTTAAGCCTCTCCACAAAAAAAAAACTATTGGTCTAAATCTCGAATATATGATTTTGAGTGGTCGGCGATGATTGGTATAATAATACGATGTATGTACCTATAAAGAATATCAAAAAATGTTGGTACCTATATGGATATATCGTGTTATTATATATTTTTTATTCATTTTTTTGTACCTACACTTGATGTTATGAAACAATGCATTTATGCAAATATGTAACGATATTAAAATAATAAATATTTTAAGCAACACTTTCTAGGGTGTTGGAAAAAACTATAATATAGCATTGTAATAGTACAATATTTTTATTAAAAAACTAATCATATTTTAATGTTTCAAAACTTTTACACGAATCATTAATTTGTTATCATTGAAATATTATATTAATTATAATAAAATTGTATTCAAATCATGTAATCAAAAATATTGTATTTATATTATTTGATAGAAATGTTATAATATTATATATGTATTTTGGGGAATATAATATTTTATATTAACACGTTCGTGGTCAATGCTGCTAAAGGTAGTAATTTCAATTTTGATGTAACGGGTCACTACTGCTATAGCAGTAATTTACAAAACCCACAAAATCGGGCATTACTGATTAAATGGAACTTAATATTTATGTGACTGACCTATTTTGATCACTCATAAGTTTGGGCACAGATAAATATAAAATTCTATTTTTTAAAAAATTGAGTGATTTTCTGAGGAGGGTAAATTAATAATATAAAATGTGAAGTAACCACGGACGTGTTGAATTAGGGCAACTGCAAATAAATAATGTTTAATTCAGCAAGGGGATTATAGAATGGTGTTGGGATATTTTGTTCCTCTCTGTGGACTTTTTGTTCCGTTTTGTGAATAATTTAATCCTTTTATAAAATTTAATAGAGGACAAAAAATATCCTATATTACAGTGGAGGTCGGAGGCATGCTCAGGAATATTCAATGGAGGATAGGGCTTTAAAAAAAAAACTAATATGAAAGTAATATACTCTGAAAGTATTCAAAACACTAAATAAGTTTTAATTCGAATACTATATACAATCATATGCTAACACGTTTTAAGTCTTAAGTCTCACGTCTTTAGTCGCCACTCGTTATTAGTCGGACTTGTGCACATACATAGTGGTGAAGACATAAGTCCCGTATGGGAGTGTAAAATATTGTCCATCCAATTTAATAACAAAAACAATTTTTTAAATACCTAACAGTAAAATTTTTTACTTTTAATTAAATTGTATTTATTTTAACTTTTTTTAATTTTTAAATTTGATTATATACATTTATTGGTTTGTTAAAATAATAAAATATTATCAGTAGAGGCCATAGGCAGAGGTAGAGGTCAGCGGCATACTCAGGAATGTTCAATGGCAGAAATGGGGTTGAAAAAAATATATTTCGTGTTGTGCTCAATTGATTTATATATTTTATTGATAAATATATAGTAGGGCTAAGTACGCGCATAAGCGTATAACTAGGGATACAGCCTACCTGGCAATACTATCTATTTAAAATAACCCAATAGGCTCATAATATTATCTAAATCAATAGTCAATAAGGGACATTTTTTTTTCATTTGGGCTGAATCGTAGTCAGGGGGCTAAGCGCCCCTTAGTTGCACCACTGACTAAGTACTTGGTAGTTTTGCATGAGAAGAGGAGTACTATTAACTATTAAGACAGACATAAACATTATTTTAACAAAACATAAACGATTGCTATACATGGACGACACATTGTCTGGAGTTGTAAGCGAATAATAATTAAATAATCCAAAATAAATGTTGTTTTAATATATTAATGTTTGTGTTTAGGCTACTATACTACTATTATAGTAAACTAAAAATCTAAAAAAATGTCGTTTATTGGCATACAAAATCGTTATAATGTAATATGTTAAAGAGCTGTTAATAAACAAACGACTGTACCTAAACATATTATGTTTTTTTTTTAATTTTACCAAAAGCAGCTAGTATGGATATGCCATATGCGG